GTCCTCTAATTTCAGGCCACAAATCGGGTCAGATTCAGAACTGGCGCGTACAGTTGACGAACTCAATCAGTTGACCCTCAATATCTTCTATAGTGGGTTGAATGCAGCTGTACAGAAGATTTTGTCCAAGGTTTATATGATTTTTTCGTAACGTTGGCGATTTTCATCAGGTTCATGCATGGTGTAGCTGTTGGTGCCGCATTCTCTATGCTCAGTTTTCACCCTAACCTCCTAGTGGTTTATGGATTTTTCCACTTTCTTGCTGCACCGTGAGCAGTGGATTGCTGGGACTAGCTCTCTGATGATGAGACACTGAATATTGCCCAATTTTGGTGTAAAAAAGGTGCTTCATTTCGTCCCTGACCTTAGACGGACCATTGGTATTTGCGAAGACCTACCTGTTCGGTTGTCACGCCTACTGGAATCAGGTGTTTATAAGAATTCTACACTAGTTACCCCCCCCCCCCCCCTCGTGCCTCTCTTTTCCTATTTTGGATCGGAATTTCGCTTAACTAGAAATTTGTTAGTGGGCGTGGTTTGCTTTCCTAGGCGCAGATACACTGGTTCCGCCTGCTGTGACGGCGTACCTCCGAGAACCGAAATCGATGGAAGCTTATCCTGATGTCGGCTTGACTCCTCAGTATCGCACACCTCCAGATTGTGTTAATAATTCTCATTTAAATGGAATGAACGCTCCACGTTATTCCAATCAAATGGAATATTTGTGTTGAGGGCTCAATAATAGTTCCTGAAGAGTTGTTCCAAATCATTGAACATTTACAGATGGGTGCTCCAGATTACGACTTGCTTCCGGTATCTGCTGTACATCAAATTCTCATGCTCTTGAGGTCAGTTTTGAAGCTGCTACCCCATATACTTTCGTTTTTTGCGCTTTCGTGCTCATTCTCAGCACTCATTTCCTCAAACTTCTTATATTGGTGTTTTCAGTAGTTTCCTAATTAATATACAGACTCAGTGCAGAAGCGTTTTTATCGGTCACCATCTTACCCTTTTCCAAGTACCAATATTCAGGGACGTGCTGGCGTGCTGGACACTCACGATGGTGCAATTGCTCCGCGCACGAATGCAGAGCGAAAGAGTTCCAACAGGCTTTCTCTTTTGTAATGCCAAACGATCCCAATATGCATTACACTAGGCCTTCCCTGTGAGCAACTTGCATGAAAAAACATAGTTCTCTCTCCTCACATCGGTTCTTTTTCCTGTCATCTTCTTTTTCTGTTTGGAAAGCGAAAAAGCGCTGAAGAGCCGGATTTCCGTCAAGGAAAGAAAACATTGAAAAGGCTTAGTTCTTCTTCGGTTGCAGGAAGGGTTTTTTTCGTTCAAAGCGATGAGTCTAATGAACCTTCTAATTGAACTAGTTCAGATTTTCGGTTGCGTATTAGACCCGCTGTATAGATCGGTTCAGGTTGCCGCCACTCACTTGCATTCTCTCCGCTAGGTTTTTCTTTTATTATTGAAGTAAACATTCGTTTTGTTGGTAAGTTCATTCATGTTCAGACGTCGCTGTATATACGCTAAACTGTTTGTCGGCAATTTACTCTTTGGTTATTCTTTATCCGTTCACCGACTCTCGACTCGAGATGATAAAAGCTTTAGATGAGTTAAATAGTGAAGCTACTTTACTTTATCTTTTTCTAGCTCACCGGTCCACATTTGTTTTTTTTTCAGATGGAAGGTAACGAAGATGTCCTGGTATCTGAAGAAGCTTCAGCCATCCTCGCAAACACCGGCTTGATCAGCTTGTACCAGAAAGCAGCTGCTCATGATCGAAATCAAGTACGTGAAGTTGTAGCGTTTTGTAGTCACATAGTCGATCGTAGTTGTGCACTACCGTACACTTAAATGCAGTTGGCATGATAACCTTCCATCGAAGTAGGATTTATATGCCTGGCAGGGCGGATTTCCGCGACCCTGAGCAGGCCCTGCGTAGCGGTTTTTCCCACGGAGGTACCCTTATAAGGGTCCTATCAAGCTACAACTTTCCGACCCAAACGCCTACCACGCCCGCCCGCCCACAAATGGACGACCCTTACCAAATGCTCGTTTTGCTTCATTTGCTATTCAAAATATGAAGCGAAGAGAATGGTATGAAGCGGCTGCGGTGCCTGAATGGGTATATGAGTTACATAGATGCTAGCCGCACCTATACGAAGCGGTATTTTGCATATACGCCTACCCGGGAAAAAACTTCGTCCAAATCGCTTTTCCAAGAACGAAGGCTTTATATTCGCAGTTTTGACTTCTCACTCTCGTTTTTTTCGCCATTTTCCCCCCATCTAAACTAGGCCCTGCGAGCATTTTAGGACTGAGTGCCAAATTATCGTGCCATCTGCCTTTAAGTGCCTGAAAAGGGGAGGGGGAGGCGTTCCGCTGGCTTTTGTGTAAGGAGCCATTCATAAGGAAATGACTGACAGCTGTCTTTTATTCGTAACAGCTATCAGCGGATGACCGTTTCCCCGCAAGAAATTTTCTGCCCGCTCAGTTTTTCAGCTTTTCGAAGGGTCTATCTCTCTAGTCCTAAATCATATCTGATTTACCACCTAGGCCATCAGTCCCGGAGTTCCTGATTTTTGTGTGGAGATAGGATAAAAAGGACACGAGGTTTCATCCTTCAGGGCCCACTGTCAGCCATACCTGGCATGGATGCGAGCACTGTCAACCAAATTTTGTCGCACTTCGATGTCTACTTGTCTCAGCCAGATAACTATCAGCTGGATCAAGTTTCTAAAATCAGCAGTGTGCGTACAAGGTAAGTGCTCTTAAGGTTAGATTGAATTTGATTTATTCAGGCCTTCATAGAGGTCTAAATTGGTCGTTTTTAGAGAAAGTGTGCAACAAAGGACGGTAGACAACGTCGTGGCAGCCTATTCCGTGATCGTTAGCAAGTTGGAAGATCCATTTAATGCCTATGAAAATGTGGCATTCAAGTCTGTCGAACAGGTATGTGTAGTCATAATTCCTGCAATAGCGCTGGATTGGAGCGCTCCCAAGGCACGCTTTTGCACCAACGACACCACCCTGAGGGCGCAACAAGTGGCGGGGAAGGTTTCTGGCTCCGCTTCCCGCCAATTTATTTATTATCGGTCTCGATTTTGCTTTGTCTTTACCACATACCGTTTACTTTTCCAGGTAAAGGAGCTCCTCAAGTAAGGTCTTCCGCGGTTTCCGTTCTTTCTTGTCTTCCGGTAACTGATTACTGTGATAATATTAACTGTTAAATAGAAGCGATATTTCCTTCACTTTCACTTGATGATTCTTCTCCGAATTCTATTGGTATCTTTACGATGTGCAATTCTGATGAATAAATGGGCTTCGGAACTATTTTCCTGTTCACATATGGAGTTGCAGGCCAAAGGAAATGGAGTTTTTTGAGCTGCAAAATGGGAAAAAACGAGACATTACCGTAACGTATAATCCCAACCCGCCTGGAACAGTTCCCTGCTCTAATACTTCCCCCACCCTTTCCATAGCCTCTTCTTAACTATACTCTAGTTCGCTGCGGATCAAGGGGCGTGTTAGGCAGTATGAGTGTGCCACGGCGTCAAAACCGCCAGTTGTTGAAGCGGATATGCGACAACAGTTGATAGAAAACGAGTGATACGAACGATA